CCCTCGAGACGATGTAGTCAGTCACATTTGAAAAGTGTGCTCGTTCCGGAACAGCATGTAACTGAAAAGGGACCCTTGTAACTGCTGGAAAGGCAGGATTAGTCACCAAGCAAAATCCCGCGTCTGTCTGTGCACTTCTGTCCCAAGGGAGCACAGGGGCAGAGTTGACGACTGGCCCTCGTCCGATCGATTCCGACTGTCCGGGGCCACCGCCACCCTGTCCTAGCTCTGCTGACCTGAGCTGGTGAGGACACAGGAGAAGAGGGCACACAGTGGGGACACTGACTCCCTCATGACCAGTGGGCACAGCGTGGGGGCTGAGCAGAAAGCATCACCCGGGAGTCAGAGCAGACGGGGCGACAACAGGACGCGCCGGGTGGCCGTCCCTCCCTCCCGACCGGCCCGTCACCTGGTCCTGCTGCTGCCCCCTCTGCTCACTGTCCCTCCTGCATCCTGAGCTCACCGCAGAGAAGCCCACGGCTGCCGGGGCCCTGCCCGCTCTCCCCCATCTGTCTTTGCAGCCACGGCTGGACACCTGGCCAGTCAACGCTGGCCTCGCGCCCAGCCTCTCACAAAACCAAGCTGCCTTCCACCAACACAGTGGCCCCGGCGCCCACCAGGCCAGAAAGTTTGGAACGACCTTTGCCTTCCTGTCCCGTGCCTTCACCATCACACTGCCTTTTGCTTAAGTATTTGCTGAATCCCACCTATTTCTGGGCATCCCTGTCACCGTCACACAAAGACTCTCTTACGGCGGGCTGGTACGAAGACTCTCTTACGGCGGGCTGGTTCGTCACAAGATGGAACATCTTAGTTACAGGATGGTCATCTTTAAAAGATTCAAGTGCAAGGACCTCGCGATGCCCCGGGTGCAGCCGATGACCCGGCTGCGAGGAGACACACACGGACGCCGCCTGACCTGGCGCAGCTCTGCTTACACAGCTTCAGAGAAGTGGTTTCAGCACCTCCGGGTGGTAAGCTCCCGGATACTTGCAGATGTCATTCTTTCTAAATTTAACCCGTCAGGCTACGCTTTAATTAAGCTCATCTCCTCTTCTGGAGATGGAATTCAGATTTATTTTCGCCTTCAGCGTGTAACGTGAAAAGAACGTTACATTGCGGAGACCTGGGCTCTGGTCCTAAATTCTGTCGCCTGCGTGCCCGTATGATCTTCACCTTATTTCCGAACTTCCCGTGGCTCAGAACCCTTCCCTGTGACAAGGCCGGGGCTGGGTCACCCAGCATCCTCCAGCTCGCACACCCTGTAGCCCCTCTGTTGCTTTGTGTGCTGGGCCAGGACACCTCCAGCATCTCTAGCAGCGGTTCACCGGATGCTCACTGTTTGCCATGGCACCCCGAGAACGTGTGGGGTACTCTGGCCCTGCCTCCTTACGGCCAGGGGCAGTCGCCGTCCTGTGCACACAGATGGGAGGAGGATCTTCTTCCTGCCCAGCAGCTTCCTGAAAGTCATGGAAGCGTGTTCTGGGGTACCCACCCCCCTGTGCCGTGTTACAAAAAACAAGTCACTTTGTGAATTAGGGTGCACCACACGCCATGTCCACACACAGGTCCACATGTGACTCTTGGGGCACAGGGATGGGACGCCGGGTCAAGGACGGACCAAGGTTTCTGCTGCCCCAACCCTCCTTCCTGCAAAGAGCTAAGTGCACGTAAATAACGCCCATTTTACAAGTGGGTATGAAGGAGTTTATGGCCCAGTGTCATGAGTCAGTGCAGGGTGGGAAGGGCTAGGTCAGAGCTCGGGGAACACCAAAGTACTTAAAAGAATTTAGGACCAGAGCCCAGGTCTCTACAATGTAATGTTCCTTTCACGTTTACACGCTGAAAGAGTGAAATTCTTTCTCTGTGAGCCGGGTGTGGCGGGTAGAAACCACACAGACTTATTTGGGTATTTGAATAAAACACATTCTTCCTGCCTTTCTGTGTGCAAGATTTGAACTGTGTTATTCTAGCTTATATCTTTCAATGGTTTTGTGACCTTGGAGTGCTGTGATTAATAGGCACGGTTGTTTCGGGCAACTTTCAAAGATTTATGTTTGGGTTTCAGTAGGTAGGTAAGCTATGCTATGACTATTCATAAAATGTCTAGGTGTTTACGCACTAGGCACTTTTTCCCCATGTGTGGTCCTTAGGAGCATTAGATCTTAGGAATCAAGACACAGGCCAGAAGGAAGACATAAAAAGCTTTTGAGACGTCTTTATAGGTGCTTCGAGGTACAGGAGCTGTCCTGCCCTGCGGTTCTGCGTCTCGGAAGACTCCGGAGAACGTGTAGCGTTCCAGATGCTGTGGCATCAGGAGGAACCCAGTCCTGGACGCAGCAGGTGGGGAGGCTGGCCATGCAGACCCAGCACCGCGGTGGTTCTCAGCAGTGTGCATGTTTGCTGTGCATCTGCTGCCCCGTGTGTGCTGCTCCACTTACTTTGCAGGGAGAGCAGCCTGGGCACGGACGCTCCCCAGACGTTTCGCTGTTCTTTGTGTCTTGCAAGGTTCTGCACTCTCTCGTGTGCACCAGACACATCACAGTTTAGATCTCAGTGCTGTGTCTGGGTGATGGATTCTAAAATTAGTGGGGACAGGTTACGAATGGAAAACAGAGAAACCGATGCGATGTGCACACCCTAGGAAATGGCCACACTTGGCGAAAGAGGACTGCCAGGTGCGCTCTGTGCCGCGGCCATAAATGCCCGAGAAGCTTTTCCTCATCACTCTTAATCCCTCCTGCTTTGTCCTGGAACGCAAACAGTGGCATTTGGAAGGAGCTCTCAGGTGTGGATGCTCTCGGCAGCGTTCTGGGCCCTCTTTTTGGTTTCTGAGGCAGCAGATCTCCCTCCCACCTGCCCGCCCACCATGTCCCTCGGAAGGAGCCGCACAATGCAAAGCAAAAGCTGCTTTCATGACTTTCGCCAAGCGCAGTTACCCCAAGGGATCAGCAAAATCTCTTCCTCTGTTCCGAGTGACCTTTCACAGGTGGACTGCACAAAGCTTCCAAATCCTCAGAGAACATAGGGCGTCATTCAAAACCACAGTGCCACTGGACATTTAAGTGCCTATCCGTGGTCCCAGATAAAACAGTCGAGGACATTTACAATGCAATTAGGTCTTAAGCGTAAAGAGTCAGGGATGGAAATGTCACTAAGAAGAAGTCTCTGAGGCAGAGCTAAAGAACCAAAGCAGACTCAGTCCGAGTCAGATGGAAACTGTTGACTCAGGGCGGAAGCCAAGAACTTGAAAAAGAACCCAGGGGCCTTTGTAAGTTCTCAGAACGAAGGCAAAAGGACTACATGGACTGTAGTCTAAATCTGCCTGGTTTAGTGCTCAAAGGCCCATTTCTGGGGCAAACCAGCTTCCTCTGTGAGGAGGTGTTTGTTACTATGATGCGTAGGGCCTCCCTGAGCCCTCACCTCAGCTTGCTCTGTGAG